AAAGATCCTAACACATGGAACTAGGGTAACTTAAATCCTAAGTGAAGGGAAGTTACTCCATAGAGAAGAGAGAGACTGCAGAAATCTGATCTAGATCTTCAATCTCCATCTCCAAGCTTGATTCCTGAGCTCCAATTGCGAAGAAATCCTCCAAAATAGCTCCAAAAATGTTCCCAAGTCGCTCTCTCTCTCTCTCTCTAGGGTTCGTCCCTTGGGTGTTTGGGATCCAAAAACTCAGCTCTCCCTTTCCTTTGGCTCGAATCTGCCTCAAAAACCCGATTCTGGGCGAAATACGAGCAGAAATACGGTCGTAATTCTTCCATGCCCGTATTTTCCCCAAAACACGCGTTTTGGTTAAGTTTCAGCGCATTCAAAGCTCCTCTCGGCAATGAAAATACGGGCATGAGAGGGGAAAATACGGTCGTAATTCTCCTGCCCGTATTTCTTCCTCCGCTCCTGTTTAATGCTTCGTTTCTCCCTCGTTCGGACTCCGAATCAGTCGCCGTTTGATCCCAGACGCTCGTAGTATCGCCCTCTTTCTTTTCATGACAAGTTTACATGAATATTTTTCCATAATATGAGGTAGAAGTCCATTCTTCCTCAGGTCATGCTCGTGTTTCTTCTCCCCAATTGCCAAATGATCTCCGATTGACATGAAACTTGCGCCTATGCTTCAATTTACATGCTAGGACCTGAAATGTGACAAAGGAACACAAACTAGCATAAAATATTCCAAGTAAGTGAAAAATCAAGCCAAAATGATCAAGAAACGACGGTGCAAACATGTGCAAATAAGATATTATCAAATTCCCCCACACTTAACCGTTTGCTTGTCCCCAAGCAAACCAAGTCAGATACAAGGTAAGCTCGAAACATATCAATCATGAAACCCTTGGGGACATATCAAATAGGCACGAAACACGAGAATCATACTGGCTTTCAAACATCAACACCTGAACAACTTCAACAGCAACCTGGACGGCCACGACAGAGGACATTCGAGTGCAGCAAAATCGGGTAAAGGAAGAGTCTCCCTTCTGTTCACCAACCAACCTAGACCTGACTCAACCACTTGTCAGCTCATGCATAAAACTCAAGACATCAGAATCAAGACCGAGCCATCGAGGTCCTCACCGGGGTAAAGAGTGTAAAGAACAAGGAAATGAATCGCTCACTCTCGACCAGTGGGGCCAGGACAATTTGATGCGAAAATGCGCATACTTATTCTCTCAATCCCTAACGTCTCTTCACCATGACGGCAACCTCTAAATGTTAGAGTTCACATAAATGGGTGTCATCACTAACTAATCCGGAGGTCTTAGACACAGGTTCAAATGACTGGCTAGGGTCTTGGACATGGGGAAAAGGCCTTTTAGGTGGTGGAAGTATTCATAGCACAAGGTTCCATAGTTCCAAACCCAACACATTCACCGCCAATCAAACCACTTACTTTCTTTCTGCCATTCTGCATTACCCAAATTATTTAGAGCACAAGAGCGAAGGAGGTCACAATAATGCTAGTATTTCCAAACCAGACTGCTAAGAAACACTACTTAATGGACACTATTCAGATTTTTGTGGTGGTGGCTCTCTTTTGCTTACATTCATTTTTTTTCTTTTTCTTTTCTTTTTTCATTTCTTGAGAGAACCACCACCTATGCACATTTTTCAAACACATGCCCAAATTTTTAACAACTACCTCCAACCCTCACATTATATTTAGCAGAAACAGCAGAGAACATGTAAAAACCACTCTGTGGAACCTTCTAAGAGATGCAAAAGGGTGATTTTTAATTGTAGACCGAAAGAAAGGAAATTACACGGCTCAAAGGGGCTGACTAGGGGATATGACACATCAGGACAGTCAATTTGGTCGTGGGCTAATCCTATGCCTCCATCATCTTAGTTAATGACAACGTGAATGCTACACATCATAGAAGAGGGATCTATCGCACAAGAAAGAAACGAGCAGGCTCAAATCTTGCATAGCTACCTATATGCTCTATCTCTCATTCTGATTCCCTAAGCTAGATGCATAAACGACTGTCAAGAAAAAGTGATAAATTCAAGTCACAGTTGGTAAGCAAATAGTTAAAAAACTGAACTCCTACACAATTCTACTACACGTCTCAGTCATCATTATAGGTCGCACCTATTTTGGCATATATTGACTCATCTCACCTCGTCACAATGCTAGACAGCTCCCTCGCGACAAATCAAGTCGTCTACTTTTTGCCTTAGAAAAAATAATGTTCATTTTGATGTTGGTAGAGACATTATGGTCACCACTCCTCTACTACCACGTTTCAAGCCATCATGCCCCCCAGGCCGTGACTACTCGGGGCAAGATAAGATGGCATGGCATGGCCTGATGTATGGCTCGTCATGCCAAACCATCATAATGATCTGGTGGAAAAAAAAAATTCACATCGAAGTCTAACAACTCCTACTCAATTTTTCACTTTGATATTTTTTTAGCCATTGTTGGCTACTAGTTTATTATTATTATTAATAGTATATATACTTATTTATTTATTTAATATGGCAAGGAGTGACAGAGTTAGCGCTCTTCGTAGCCTTTAGCAACAACTAATGCGCCAAAGGTGTACACTCACTGCCAAGTCATTGGATCAAACCAGACATGCCATCCATAGATCACATGACTCTTTTCCTCCACGGGAGATGAATCTTCATACATTAACTTTGAATTTTCAAGCTTACTAATGAGTGGTACATGGTCAGCCTGTCCAGTCTTGGTGGCCTTGCATGAGGTCTCATGCTTCTTTGCTTGGGCCACCTTACTTGCCATGTCAAGGCTATCATGATTACTCTTCTGCCTTGATTTCCTCCCACTTGATACATGCTTAATCTCCTCACAATGTTGGGGACCAAGTCTAGACTTGACAAGTTGACAACCACTCGTGTAGCTTCCTTGTCTTCGTCTTTCAACATCTAAACCTTGTTGGCCCCTACACTTAGCCCTCAACCACCATTGATTCTTGGTGCAACCATGTTTGGCTGGTGTGTATGGTGACTTCTTATACATGCCCCCATGTACACTCTTTGTGGTTGGTGTCGAGTACTTACTATTCATTGACATGGACTTGCCCCCCAATCCACCCTTATCCATAATCTCACGCTTACAAAATCCATGTGGGGGTTTGACTTCTTGTGTCTTCTTGGAGATGCTCTCTACTCCATTCTTCATGGTGGGTGAAATGCTCCCTTGTCCAAACTTAGTCAAATTAGCATGCTTATGGCAAACATGTGTGACTTGCACTTCATATGGCTTCTTGGACATGTCTTGTCCATACTTAGCCAAATTTTCAAATCTACAATAACTTTTTATGGCTTTCTCACGTCTTGACTTGTTAGATATGCCCCCATGTCTACTGCAAGTGGTTGGAGGCATGCCCCCCTTTCCAGACTTAGCCAAATTAATATGTTTAGCACAAGCATGTGTTGCTTGTGATTGATGTGACCTCTTAGACACCACATGCCCCCTAGATGGACATCTCGGTGTCAACTTGTGGGAAGTTAGACGTTCATGCCCCCCTTGCTGCCCCCCATACGGTACAAACCCAATAGGGTCCATCCCATGCCCATTGAAATGGGGTGGCGTTGGAATTGCGTAGCCTCGAGGTGGAATTTGATCCATGTTACCACCTAGGCCTCCTCCTACTCCCAAATTCATAGGAGCCACGTAGAGTCTTGCCTCTGGGATAGAGGGACGAGCACCCACTTGCACGGGTGACTGCTCAACTCGAGTGTTGAACATGGTGGCGATTTTCTCACCACGCGGGGGTACCACTTCAACTCCCACGTGTGCCTATGACGATTCCCCCACTTGAGCGGTAGTAGGAATCTCAACATCACCTACTCGACGTGGAGTTGGTTGGCTTGCCGTTTGAGACGGCAAGTTCTCTTGCCGTGGTTGGCCATTCCGACCTCCGACGGGAGAAGGAACGTTATTAGTTGGCGTTGGGCTTGTGCCATCTACTGGCAAAGCTCTTGACTGCACTACTGGTCTAGTTAGAGTTTGTCGAAACTGATCCAACTCATTTGTGTTTTTGTTAACCACCTCAAATAATTGACTGAAACGTCTATCAATGCGAGAATTGAGACAGTCAATTTGAGAATTTACCTGATGTGTACTAGCCCGAGTCTCCTCCATCATGCGACGGTTCTCTACCAACATTTGGCGGTTCTCCTCCGTGGCTCGAAGGATGTCAGCCACCATCTTGCGGTTCTCCTCCATCATCTGACGAAGGGCCCCCACTGCTTCGCCGAGATCTCCACCAGGCGCGGTTGCCACAAAAATCTCTGCTCCACCGTTTCCTCCGGTCACCACGTCGAACGCTTGGACATGCTCAATGTTGGCCACCTACTCCTCCACAAATCCAACCGGAACGTCACCTTCTTGGTTCCTCCGCCTCGGAGCCATTGAATCGACCATAAGGGTCCCACCAGGTGTGCCAAATTTGTTTTCCGGCGAGAAAACTTGCGTTGAAATAAATTGATTGCACCTTGACTTCTTTGGACAACGATTACTAAACACGGTTCACACCTCTTCAAACACAGTTCGAACAAGGGTGTTCGATGTTTACACGACTCTCGAGACAGATCTACATTAAGTTAATCCTACTCCTATGGAGGTTCTGAGAGAGCTCCAGATCTACGACTACTGATAAAAATTTGCAGAACAAAGATAAGATTGATAAAACTTGACAAGTGGTGTCGAGTGGTGATTTTTGCGGGCCTTTCTCTGACAACTCTTCCTCCTATTTATAGGCTTGAGGTGATAACCGTCGTAGAAAACTGTATGGAGAGTAACTTCCAAAAAGAACCGCTTCCCTTCTTTCCCGGACGTGGCTGACGTGTCCTTGAACGACAGTTTCTCAATCAAACCGCCGGTTTCCCTTTTGGAATTGACGTCTTGTTACATGCCTTTTCCTTTACCATGGCTATTCCAAATCTCGCGACGAGGCGGGTTGTCAAACATGATGACAACGCTACGAGGTGGTTTACCAAACTTGACGCGACGAGGCTTGTCGCGACGAGGCGGTCTACCAACCTTTACGCGAGGAGGCTTTGCACTTAGACTTAGTAGAGGCTTGGCGGACTTGCGACGAGGTGGCCTGGCGAACTCGCGAAGTGGCCTGACGCGAGGAGGCTTGGCGCTCGAACTTCGTTTATCTTGTGACCTTCTCCCCACGCATCTTGTAGACTCGCGATGTGGTTTAGACAAGGCGGTTTGTCGCGACAAGGCGGTCTACCAACTTGACGCGAAGAGGTTTGTCGCTATGAGGCACCAGACTTAGTTTATTCTCACGCGTCATGTCAGGCCTAATCGTCTGGGTTTTAAAATCTAGTATCGTAGGCCCAGTTTAAATAACATTAATTGTTATTGTTGATCTGGCCTTATAAAGACAGTAAATGCCTTGTAAATAATCAATGTGATACAAGATTATTTTTTAGGTGTAAACAGATTTTAGACTCATGATATTGAGCCGGATTAAATTACTTTTACTAAAGCTTATAATCTCAAAGATGTCATCTTGCATGCATCGCATTTGGAATCTAGACGGATGGAAGCGCGGTGATTTGTATTTCCCATTCAAATGGTTGAGCAAGTGAGAATGGAGGGATATTCCAAAAGTGTTTAGTTTGTTGCAAAGGTAAGTCAAGTGTACCTATTCATCTTTGCATGTGAGAATTTGGAGCAGATGGGGGACAGTCGGAAAAGGGGCTCTAGCTGTTTTTGCAACCTCAGTTTATTCATTAGAGCTTCGGAATAGGAGGATGCTGTCGATTTGGATGGCCAAGAAGAGTTTTATTTAATTTCAATTTTATTTAGTGGGCCTGTCTGATGTTCCTACTTCTTTGCATGTATCTCATTCAATTCCTCCTTGCAGATTGAAGCGGAAACAAACTTGGTCACTCAGCGCTCCGATTTGCCGGTTGCTTTTCAAATGTTGTCGGAGGTGAGTCAAAACTTAAATCGAAACCCTCTTCCGATTCGTCGTGGGAGAGGGGAAGAGAACGAAGGAGCTTCCGGTTCTTTTCTCAAATCCAGAAGCAGAGGTAAGAGTCCAACTCAGCCAGCCACCAATCACAAAATGGGAGGAAGAACCATGATAGAAAATTGGCTATCCAACTTGGCCAATCGCCAATCGGTCGACAGGGGGGATCACGAATCGGTAATTGTTGAGGATAATAATGCGAACGAAAGAAGTGACGGGTAGGAAGCAGGGGATCTCGGGACGTAACAAAAGGGGTGCACAGGTGCTTACGGTGTACCTACCCGTAGCCCACTGGACCCCTTAAGCAATTAGGCGCTATATATATACTAATAATAACGGTCGAAAGCTGAAGAAAGAATACATATGCAATTGACAGTGGAAACTAGAAAGTGTGAGCACGAATCAATCTATTGCATAAACTTTTACTGTTAATTAAAAGAATTTGAGAGCTTTTCTCTCTTGGTACTGGATCAAAATGCTCTCGCAGGAACCCAATTACATGCCAATAAGTGAAGCAGTTTTCCTAGAGCTAGGTAGTGATGGTCTAAGTTGCAACATATACTAAGGCGGCAAAATTATATATACAAACCATTCAAAGAATGCACGCGGGAGACTCGTTACGTTACGCGTATTTACATGAGACATACATGTATCATCATGCCGCGGACTGTTTGTAGTTTTGATTTAGAGCAAGAGTCATCTGAAAAACTCACGCCGAGGCAGCCTTCCCATGGTATTATGATACGGGAAGGTCACAAGACTCTGTTATGTGCTTCGATCATTGAAACCTTCTCCTGTGCCGTACATGTAAAAGGCATTTTTCAGATGAAGATTCGGACGAAGTGGCAAGCAAACGACATTATCGTGCTGACACAAAACGATGAGGGAGGAAGAAGGGTTATAACCTCATTCGGGACGGTTTCTGGTGGAAACCATTGCAAAAGGACTCCGAGATTCATGACATTAGGTATCAATTTGAACAGGAGAGGTGTTGTGACCTGGATGAACAAAGATTCAGTTGATCACTGTTTTATATGGACATTATGGCGCAGCTTAGAATAATACCAAAGAATGGAAAGTATAAGAAACAAACCAGACTTAGAGCGGTTGTTCCAAGAAGGAGAAGGTACATTTTCCCCTGCATTAACAGTGAACAGGTCACAAGAATCAATAGCATGTTCAAGGGCATGAAAGAGAGAAACAGGGAGAGACAGAGAGGGAGAGGCAACCTCAACGAGGTTAAGAGTTGAGGCACGACTAAGTAGAACAAAAGCAAACTCCCCAATTTGAGCAAGCAACACTCCAACCTACAACAGAAAAGACAGAAGTCATGTTTTCAGTTTGGAGAGCTTTCAGTAATCTTTAGCCTCTGAGATATTTTAGAAGCCAACTCACGTGAAATGATGTCCTGATGCCATATCCAAAGGTTTTAATAACCAAAGCAGTAACAGTTGTCTTCACAACTACAACCATAATCACTGATGCTAGTAGTATGTCAACGTGATTCCACAGAAAATGCACGTGTATAAGCATTCCAATACTTGCAAGAAACAGGGCGGCAAACAGATTACGAATTGGCTCCACCTATATAACAGGAAAGGAAAAGTATCTCCACTGGGTCATTCTCAATGCTATAATGTGAACCATAGCTCCCAAGAACAAGAGAATTTGCAAATGGAATCATCAGTTTCCATTAATGGTCAATCTGATTGAGAGTGCAAACAAGGATTTTCATATAAAAAAGGTGAAGACGACAGGTTAGTTACAATAGAAAAGCAAGTACTGACTGGTATAAGCATCACTAGCTTTCAAATCTAAACCACTGGTACCCAAACAAGGAACTCAACAATAAATTGCAATTATCGAACCATAGAAGGTCGAAGTAATGAAGACTAGTTCAGATCAAGATCATGTAAACAGAAGTCATGGCTATTTGGGAAGATGGAACTAAAAAATGATAGATTAACCCTCAGAATTAAAGTTAAGTGGGAATCAAAAGTTAAAGGGAAGTACCTGGTCTAAAGTATGCTGTGCAAAGTCAGTTGTGGATATCATAACTCCAGCTACAAATGAACCCAACTCAAGACTGAGGCCTAATTTGTCACTGCACTGAAGATGGTAAAAAGGGAGAATTATTATAACATAATGAGGTCCACATTAGGGACAAGAACAAATAATAATATGTTGAGGCACACATTTTGACTCACAATTTCAGTTTTACAGAACAATCAGTAATAGACTAATAGCTATAACAAGTCAAAAGGTAAGAAAATATCACATGTACTTATCCAAATAATTAACTGTACAGAATGACTGCTCCGGTTAAGAAGATCAGCAGATTGAAGATAACTTCATTAAGTTCGTATAAATGTAGTAACACTCTTTTCCCAAAGCAAGTTCTCAAAATCTTGAACAATACTAGTGCAACAATATAGTATCACGAGACAGAAAAAAAGAAATAAGCAATCCAAGACAACTATAAGAAATATAAGACTGTTGCAAGATCAGACAAACAAACATCCAAGTCAAACTGATGAAACCATTATGCATGTGCATGTGAAAAATGCTTTTATGAGGAAAAGCGGAGGACATTTGAACTCACCCAAGCAGATAGCAAGCAGAAGGCCACAGCAGCAAGCTGATAAAGTTCATTTGTCTGCATGGAAGATGAATACGGGTGCATTAAGAAAACCAGTCAAATAGAAGGCTAGTCTGCACAAGAAAGACTGGACACTCACTTGAGATGATATCTGGATCATTAGCTTCAGAAAGCGAGGAACAAAGGACCAAGACAAAAATGATGCAGCAGTGAGGTACATGGACAACACCAACAACCTAAATATCAAGTAGTTAGTGTACGTCAGGATCAAGCTTGAAAAAGTAGCCAACCACTAATTAGAAAGCAAAACTGACAGGATGACATACAATTTCCCCATTGAAATCATTCCATGTAGTAACCCACTGCTGCCACCCAACACTGGGAGTAAAGCAAACAACAATCCAACAGCACAGTCCTGGGGAAGTTCATATGTAGAGAGTAAGCAAACGGGGCACAAAATCTGCATTTATTAGACTCTAGTCACAAGGAACAAGGAAATAGCACCTGAAGAATCAGAGTCCCAACTGTAATTTGACCATGAAGAGAACTAGTGCTGTTACGCTCAGCTAAGAATTTCACCACCTGTTTGGCGTAAATGCAGAAGAGGGGGTCACAAGCAACATTGGTAAACATACAAGTAATTAATAGGAATCGGAACACTGATCGGAAATCTTGAAATAAAAGAGTACCACTGCTGTTGATGACATTGACAAGAAGGATCCAACAAAAACACCGTCAGACAACTCTGCTCCACACAGCTACAAAATTGGCAGATGTAATTAGCACTATTTTAACAACTACAGTGCCTGTAGGAAAAACTCCTGGGACAAGAAACATACCATGGCAGTTACACCGGACAAGAACATAAATATCACAATTTGAAGAAAACCTCCAAACACAGCAACAGCACCCACCACCCTCAACTGTATCACCAATTGATTAGTATGAACTTCACAAACACAAAACTGTGCAAGTAAGAACAACCAGTTTAAAGAATTCAGACCAATTTATCCTACCTTTGTTATAGAAAACTCAAGGCCTAAAGCAAAAAGTAGAAATATAACACCAAACTGCGCAAATGTTTCAACCTGCAAAGGAAGAAAGCATCCAAGTCAAATTTAAATCATGAAAGTGTTCAATGACATAGAAGAGAAAACTGGATGATCCATGTAATATAGATCATTAATGCTACCTGCACCATCTCACTGATGAACTTAAGACCTCCTGGTCCAATGAGTGACCCAGCAAGAAGATAACCCACAATAATCTAAAAGACATAAGATATCAGAGTTCATCAGTCGTTGTAAAATATCAACCTGAACTCCCAAGCAGTGAATCAAAGAATGGAGCAAAAAATATGCATACTAACCGGCTGTCCCAAACACGAGAAGATAATTCCACCAATGGCAGCAGAAACTATGACAACCACCAGATCAGAAATCAATCTGTGGGAGAGGGAAACAAAAGTATCATATAGAACATTAAAATCTGGATTTGAGTATGGCAATAACAAGTGGCAATCTATAAAAAAATATGAAGTCATCACAGAAAGGATATGCACCTCAAATCGACTTGAAGTACTGGATACTTGGATTTCTTATTTGACATGACAAAGACATTGTCCTGCAAGAAGCCAGACACATAGCAAACATTTTCTACATTAATAATCCACCTAAGAACTGCATATCTGCCTACACAGTTTGAAATAAACAAGTCAGACTGAGTTTCAGGAACCTTTTTGTCAATCAGGGTAGTGCCATCCTCAGAATCTTCATTCTCCAGAGAAAATACATCTTGGAGCTGAAAGGATCTTGGTCCACTATGAACAAATGGAATGAGAGGCAAAAAAATACACGTGAAATTAGTTTTCCCAGCAAAGCAGGACAGGAACAGTGTCACTTCATTTTTCGCAGTTAAAGATCATGGCAAGTATTTTTGACAAACTTCCGCACCTTCCCGGCTGTGAGTCATTTTTCTTGCCCTTCTCATGGGTAACTTTGGCTACCGTTTCCAACACAGCCTGAAAAATTATTAGCAGGATTCATCGTGAATGCATTGAAAGAACTTGAATTCAACGGTGGATTTAATTGCAAGATTTAAAGTAACTATGTGAAACAGCAACTAGAGTATCAAAGCTGAAAAAGGAAATAGCATCGTTAACGTATATATGAGGTGTGTGACAGATATGGAAGGTGAAGCTTGTCACAATATTTCTCACAAGTCGCAAAATTAGATAAAAAGAAATTCCAGAAACAGCTATTTCCTTCATTAAACAGTAAGTATATAATTCAGTAAAAAAATTCCCAGCTTTATTTCCAGAAAGTAGAAGTATAAACCTACCTGTTGGTCATTTACACTGTTATTGAAGTTGCTTCCATCAGAACCTAGACAAATAGTACAAAACGGTTAAACATCTACTACAGAAACATCAAAGACAAAAAAATTGTCATATGACAGACAGGAATTGGGAACTCTCTAGCAGGATGGCAACTTATGTCAACGCAAATGAATCACGATGCAAGAATGCAGCATGAGACTCTACGTTGGCAATTACATACAAAATACAACCTTTCTTTCTTCACAGTATCATTCTATGTGATTCCTTGGCATGAATCTTCGCCTGGCAGGATGTACATAGTACAATAACAAAGATCTATCGAAGAGAATAGAACAGTCACATATAAGTCCTCTGGAGCTTAGAACTTCGTCTCTCCACTACTGTGTCCTCAACAACAGCTTTGGAACGTTTAAATTTCTGCCCACGGATCAGGTGTTTCCAAGAGAATACAAACCAGACTTCATCCACCTAGATACAGTTACTTGGTAGGCAAAGAAGCTTAATTTCCGCCATTTTCATCAGTAAAAAAAATTGAATCTGACGCTTCTCACCCTTCCTTCCCAGCTATCCTTATCTCTAGCAGTTCATCCAGCAAGCAGAAGAAAGCAGGGGACTAGTCCTGCTCATCTACGCTCCCAATAAAGATCAGGGCAAGCGAGGCTAGATTCCAGAAGCCTAATTGGTTCAAGAAGTTCCTAAAAGCTATCCTTATGTCTTGAAGTGGAAAGAACGAGTAAAAGATGGGGAAAAGAAAGGGGGGGAAAGAAGACGAAGGACTAACCTTCAGGCTGATCATTCTCGGAGAACTCTTTCTCGAGAACACGATCGAACATTTGGGCGATACTCCCTTCTCCATCGCCGGGAGAGGAGGAATTGATCAAATTGCCGTAGAACCTCTCCCTCATTTCCTTGTCAGATCTAACGGACTCGCAAATCCTCGCCGGAGCCGCCACCAGCAGCAAGAGCAGGAGCAGCAGCAGGCAGCGGCAGAATCCACAAAATGCTGGCTTCGCGAGGAGCATCGCTGCCATGATTTCGTCCCGGCGGCCTCGCGAGCGCAAGCGGAGGACTCGAGCGATTAAAATTCTTCCGTAGGATGTTCGTTATGTCGACGAGTCTTTAGAATTTTGGTTGCAACCAAAAAGGTTTAAACGCAGTTCCATTTATTATTATATTATTATTATTATGATTATGATTATTATCAATATTAATATTAATGATTTAATTACATTTTTTGAAAAAGGTTTTACGAAAATGTGAGGATCCCAGATATCTGGGCCCCGCCGGCCATCCGGTTCCGCAGTCGCACAATTTGACATTGGACGGGAGGTTGCGTAAAATGTGCAGATTTGCAGGGTCAGCGCGTGACACTCACGGCTTCTTGCTCAGTTCTGTTCAGCTAATTACGACTCTGTTTTCGTGTGACATACTCCACACTCGCTTCAGGAAGTGAAAAGGCACGAATTCAATTTGTTCGCTATCATGGGAAAAGTACTTGTATTAATCTTAATTCTTAAAGTGGTTTAATTAATAAATAATACGATCATTAGAGGATTAGTTTAAATTTTGTCCTATAATCCAGCACCATTGGCTACGTCATCAGTCTATTCTGCTAGTTTGAACGATTTTTGTTGTAATTGAGTGGTGTGTTTTACACTCTGTTTGGGAAGATGGGTAAATGGGAGGAGGGTGCAAATGTGAGGAGTAAACCCAGTTTCCAACATATTTGCACATATTTGGTACATTTGGAACAGTAGGGGGTGCAAAACGGGAGTGCAAATTTACTGTTTCGGCTTACCCCCCGAATTGGGGTGCAAGGGAAGGAAGGAAGAGAGAGGGAGGGGGGAGGGGATTATGGAATTTTGTTTTTCTAATTGTGTTATTTATAATTATATAACAATTAATATTATCAATTTCTTCCTTTTATAAATATCATTAATGTAAACATTATTCGGGGTTGACCATTTGACTCTGGAAACAAGTTTATCAATGTTCGTCAAGTCAAATCTAGATCTCTTGGTTGAATCGAATTTGCATTGAAAATTAGAGATACGAGGTGTTTGTGGAAAAGATAGAGAGAAATTGTTTGGTTAACTCAGTTTATTTGACTAAATAGTTAAAACTTACAAATTCGAACGTGTTTGACTAAGTTTGACAATTTAAGAATAAACTAGACACTAAAACCCTATATAGGATGACCAGTTACGAGTTGAGCTTCGAGTTTTGAGATCGCTCGATTAATGATGATTACAATTGTTATAATTAATTATTATTTGATCATTATTATATAATAACTATTTTTAGTAAAGTATATTTATTATTATATAGTAATATTTATTTTATTATTTTATGATAATATTTTATAATTTTAAAATCTATTTTATAATCTTAAAATCTATTTTAAAATTTTAAATCTATTTTATAATCTTAAAATCTATTTTAAAATTTTAAAATCTATTTTAAAATAATATAATTACTTACTTTCACTCTATTTGCACCCCCCTACTTTTTCATCCAAACAACAATTTACCTCTCCACTTACACCCCCAATAATTTGCCCTGCAATTTGCACCCCCTTGTTGCCAAACAGAGCGTTAGACTTTGACAACCCAAAAAGATACGTGGGACCAACCCAATGGAGAGTGGGAATCACGCAGGCTCGTCTAGTCGTCTGCGATTCTTCTTTTCGCGCGGTGGATTTTTGTTGTAATTGAGTGGTGTGTTTTAGACTTTGACAACCAAAAAGATACGTGGGACCAGCCCAATGGGGAGTGGGAATCACACAGGCTCGTCTGCGATTCTTCTTTTCGCGCTGGGGCTTTACCCGCGCTCGTGAATCGCTGAGGGAAAACTGCCCTTTAGGTTTACTCTCGTTTCCGGTTAGCGGGGGCCCAGAGATCTTGATCCGACCCATGGGAGCAGTAACATTTGTTCTGGCCCAAAATTTTAAAACTCAGGAGTGTAGAGATTGAGCCCGTATGCTTTAATTAACCAGGGCGGAAGATGATGATGTGTCAACTGCCGAATACCTTGCACAAGTTCGTCAGCCAGTCCTACGGAAGCGCTTGTTTCTGGTTCTGGAGTGTACGTGGGCACCGGGCCGTGCCGCCCACGGGCTAGCACGGCACGACACGAGCAAGGGCACGACATAAATGGGCCAGCCCGGCACGAATAATTTACGGGTCTTGCCAGGCCTAAACTTCATGGGCACGGGCACGAGCACGAGCATGGTGTTGGAGGACTCGATAGTGAAGAATAGTTAGTTTAGGGACTATATTGTAATGGTTGTTTTATTTCTGTATTTGTTGATTTATTGTACAGTATATATATTGTAAAATGGATAGTGTATTTTTCACCGGTTTCAATAACAAAAGTAGACTATTTTCTCTCCAAGATTCAACATGGTATCAGAGGAGATATTTTCTTGATCTCTCTCTTACTTTCCCCTTTCTTTCGTTCTAGGGTTTTCGTTTTCCGCTCTCAGCTCTGTCATGGCGACTCAATCGGCGCAGTTCCCTTCGGCGAATCCGGCGAATTCCTCGTTCATCACTCCCGCCGGCCTGCTCGATCCGTGTCATCCCTACTTCCTCAATCCTGGCGATAATCCAGCGACAGCTCTGGTTACCGTCCTCTTCAATGGCAACAACTACTATGCCTGGGCGAGATCGATGCGTCTCGCGCTCCTGGCGAAGAACAAACTCTCTCTGATCGATCCCGCGGTGGCTCCTCCCTCTCCAGGCGAGCCTCTTCACAGTGCGTGGGAACGATGCAACGTGATGGTTCTTGGCTGGATCTACAGGTCGCTGGCCCCAGACATCGCTCAAAGCGTCCTCTGGTTCAACTCCGCGATCGAGGTTTGGCGTGATCTTCAAGATCGCTTCAGTGAAGCCAGCTTGGTCCGGATTTCTGATCTCCAGGACGAGGTCTTCTCCTTCAAGCAAGGCACTGCTTCTGTGAGCGAGTTCTTTACTCGTTTTCGCGTGCTGTGGGATGAGTTGGTCACTCTTCGGCCGTTTCCGACGTGTTCTTGTACTCCACGGTGTTCTTGTGGTGCGATCAATCTCGTTCGTACTTACCAGCAGTCCGATCAAGTCATTCGGTTTCTCAAGGGTCTCAACGACAGCTTTGCTCAAATCAGGAGTCAGATCTTACTCATGGAGCCGCTGCCGTCGATTACTCGCGTTTTCTCCCTTGTGATTCAACACGAGCGTCAAATCAGTTCGTCTGGAGCTAGCTCATTCTCAGGACCACTTGCAATGGCGGGACAAGCTTCTGGTCGAGGTCAAGGACATGGCCGCGGGGCAGGCAATCGTCAACGTCCGTTTTGCACTCATTGTGGTGGCGTTGGACATACTGTGGATCGCTGCTTCAAGAAGCATGGGTATCCACCAGGATACAAGGGTAAAGGCAAGGTTAACGCAGTGGTTGCTGAAGGATCTGAGGCGTCTCTGCCTACTGAGGGTCATCAACATGTTGATTCTGGCTCTGTGGTGCTTACCTCCGAGCAGTATCAGCAACTGCTTGCTCAAGCATCATCTTCTGCGAGCTCGGTTTCTTGTCTCATGGCCGCTCAACCTGGACCTTCAACCACGGATGCCTCTGTTTCTTCGGTTGGTATGACTCAGCCTAGTCAGCTGGCAGCTTATGCTGCTGCAGGTAAGTTAGCTCTGTCTTCTATGGTTCCTAAGTCATTAGGCGTCTCTAGGAATACCTGGATAATAGACAGTGGTGCCACCGATCATGTTGCTTGTTCATTGGATTCCTTTGTTGAGTTTCGACCAATGCCTGGTATGTTTGTCACTCTTCCTGATGGGTCTCGTGTTGATGTTACTCACAAAGGGTCTGTGCAATTGTCTGCTACATTACTTGTACATGATGTGTTGTTAATTCCCTCTTTCTCCTTCAACTTGTTGTCTGCTAGTCAGTTAGCTAAACAAAATGAGTGTGAATTGATATTCTCCCACTCTCACTGCTTGATTCAGGATATCCCATCCCGGCAGAGGATTGGTATAGCTAAGCAGATTGCCGGGCTGTACTACCTCCAAGTCGAGCCTGGACGAGAATCCTCTTCTCTATCTCTTCCTATCACTGTATCTGCTGTATTTGACACAACTATTAGACATTTTGATCGATGGCATTACCGTCTTGGCCATAGTTCAGTTCCAGGTCTTAGTGGTAGTAATAAGTGTCAACATTTGCATTGTACTGTCTGTCCATTAGCTAAGCAGCGTCGATTACCTTTCCAGTCTAGTTCCTCTTATGCTGCTAGCATGTTTGATTTGGTTCATATTGACATATGGGGTCCATATGGTGTTCCTACCATTGATGGACATCGATACTTTCTTACTATACTTGATGATCATTCTAGAAATACATGGTGTTACTTAATGGTTTCTAAGTCAGAAGCTAGATCTATTGTGCAAACTTTCTGTGCTTATGTGCATACTCAGTTCTCTAAACGTGTTAAAGTCATTAGAACAGACAATGGGTCTGAGTTTTCCATGTCATCCTTTTATAATTCTTTAGGAATCATTCACCAAACCACTTGTAATGCTACTTCACAGCAAAATGGCCGTGTTGAGCGAAAGCAACAGCATATTATTGCTGTGGCTAGAGCTCTTCTTATGCAAGCTTCTCTTCCGATTATGTTTTGGGGACATGCAGTTTTGCATGCTGTCCATCTCATTAATCGCTTACCAACTCCAGTCTTAGATAATAAATCACCATTTGAAATTCTTTTTCAAAAACAGCCTGATTATGATTTATTACGAGTCTTTGGTAGTCTATGTTATGCGTCCACATTAGCTCACAATCGTCCTAAATTTTCACCTAGGGCTGAACCTTGCGTTTTTATTGGATTTCCATTTGCCACAAAGGGGTATAAACTGTATAGCTTGGTATCTCATAAGTTCTTAGAGTCTAGGGATGTTTCATTCCATGAAAACATCTTCCCTTTTTCAAACCATGAGCTGTCCATAAGTTCTCTAGATCAGGCTCTCCCCTTCATTGATATTCAGCCTATAGTACATTCTGTTCCCCCTTCCTCAGTGTCTTCTTCTCTTCCAATTCCCTCTAATCCATCTGCTTGCATTCCGGCCGACATTCCAAACAATTCACAACCTTCTTCTCCGTTGATTATTCAACCTAGCAGCAGTAACCAACCTAGCAGTAGCATTCCTCTTAGGCGTTCTGATAGGGTTAGGTTGCCTCCCAAGAAACTCAGTGATTATATTAGGCCTAACACTAACACTAGATATCCACTTTCCCAAGTTCTTTCTTATGACAGGTTGTCTCCTTCTTATCGTCGGTTCATCATGGCAGTCACCAATGAGATAGAACCAGCCTCTTATACAGAAGCTGCCATGGATCCAAGGTGGGTTGAGGCTATGGATTTAGAGCTCCTAGCATTGGCAAACACCAATACTTGGACTCTAACTCCACTGCCTCCAGGTAAACGTGCAATAGGTAATAAATGGGTTTTTCGTATTAAATTCAAACCTGATGGTAGCATAGAACGATATAAAGCAAGATTAGTTGCAAAGGGTTATACTCAAACTCCAGGTCTGGATTATTTGGAAACTTTTTCCCCTGTAGCAAAACTCACTACTGTTCGTGCTTTGCTTGCTTTAGCTTCTATTAGAAATTGGCATGTACAACAATTAGATGTTAACAATGCTTTCTTACATGGTGATTTAGTTGAAGAGGTATATATGAAACCTCCTCCAAGACTAATTTTACCATCAAAGAATCTTGTTTGCAAGCTTAATAAATCACTATATGGATTAAAACAGGCTAGTCGCCAATGGAATCACAAAATCACTCAATTTTTGATCTCTGCTGGCTATACACAGTCTAAGGCAGATTACTCTTTGTTTACTAAGTCTAACAAGGGTAAGTTCCTTGCTGTGTTAGTTTATGTTGATGATGTTATATTGGCTGGTGATGATTTAGAGTCCATCAATCTGTTAAAGTCGCAATTAGATGATGCTTTTAAGATCAAAGATCTTGGTCAGCTTAGATACTTCCTACGCTTAGAAATAGCAAGAACCCCTGCTGGTTTTTCAGTTTGTCAGCGCAAGTATGCGTTGGATTTGCTTACTGATGCAGGATTACTTGCTGCCAAGCCTGCTGCCACCCCTCTGGCTGCTGGAAATCAACTCTCTCATACTGATGGTAACCCAATCTCTGACCCTGAATTATATCGTAGACTTGTAGGTCGCCTCTTATATTTATGTCACACTCGTCCGGATATTGTTTTTGCTGTGCATCATTTAACCCAGTTTATGAGTAAACCTTCTGATGTTCATCTTACTGCTGCATATCGTGTTTTGAGGTATATAAAGAATAATCCTGGCCAAGGCTTATTCTTTCCTAGCTCATCATCTCTTAAGCTAACTGGATTTTCTGACAGTGATTGGGCTGGATGCCCAGACTCTCGTAGATCAACAACTGGTTATTGTGTGTTTTTAGGTGACTCGGTTATTAGTTGGCGATCAAAGAAACAGCCTACTGTTTCTCGATCATCAACTGAAGCCGAATATCGTGCAATGGCAGACTTGACATGCGAGGTACAGTGGCTGCAGTACGTTCTTCGTGATCTGGGTGTTTGTTTTAATTCGCCTACCACTCTGTTTTGTGATAATCAGTCCACCATTCGCTTAGCCGAGAATCCTGTTGCTCACGAACGTACAAAACATATAGAAATTGATTGTCATATCATCCGCGATCGTATTCTCTCAGGTTTGATTAAGGTTATGCATGTCCACAGCGAGCACCAACTCGCTGATGTTTTCACAAAGTCTCTGTCTAGTGCTGTGTTTTCAGGATTGATCTCCAAGCTGAATCGTTTGGACATACACGCTCCAGCTTGCGGGGGGCTGTTGGAGGACTCGATAGTGAAGAATAGTTAGTTTAGGGACTATATTGTAATGGTTGTTTTATTTCTGTATTTGTTGATTTATTGTACAGTATATATATTGTAAAATGGATAGTGTATTTTTCACCGGTTTCAATAACAAAAGTAGACAATTTTCTCTCCAAGATTCAACACATGGCACGGGATATAAGTGGGCCGTGTCGGGCCTAATATTTTCGAGACTTTCTTTAGTATAAGAACGGACATGGCACAAAAATAATATTTATTTTATAGAAAATAAATATAAAAAAAAATTATAGGTTCAAATATTACAAAACATAAGGAGAAAAATAATTATTTGTTGTTGTTAGAAATGTCATAAAGATATATATGTAATTACTAACATAAGTACAAATGAACAAAGAATTAAACAAAGCCAAATCACACTCGCTATACTTCCAGTTTTTTTCCCCCCTTATTTGTTACTTTTCTCAAACATTATCGGTTAATACTATCTTCCTCCGTCCTATTTTCACCTTCTTTTTCATTATTCCTTTTGTTTTCGTCTTTTTATTAAACACGAATACGACCATGACACAAGCACGAATAGGCACGGCACGATTCAAACCGTGCCCGGGCCTGGGCCGGGCCTAGCAAAGTTAACAAATGGGCTTGCATGGCACGACACGAAAACTGACGGGCCGTGCCAAGCATGACACGAAATAAATGGGCCCGAAGCGTGCCCGTGCCGGCCCAAACACGGCCCAGCGCCCATGTACATAATCTGGAGTATGGACTCTGGTACAACAAGCCACTCGACTCGCCGCCGGAGACTTGTGCCGGTGAGAGTGGAGGCTCAGGAGATTAACCCTAAGATCAGAAGTGTGCGAGCCTCGCTTTCGCACCCTCTAGATTTGCTTCTCCTTCTTCCAATCCGTTGCCGGTGAAGTTCCCTGAATGGCAGTTGTATTTAAGGGACTGGGAGCTACTGCAGTAGCAATTACTGCCGCAAATGCCCTCGATTCCAAGAAGTTCCTTCTCAGGTATTTGCTCCGGCTGCTCTCTCTAGTCTCTACTGCTTAACTTTGGGCTTGCCAACTTGTTTGCGCATGAAGCTGTCTCAGTTTGTCATTGTACAATTGAATGGCAGTTTTGAAAATGTAAGCTGTGATTTGTTCGGTCCATTGACTGGAATGGATCCATACTTCCGTTGGGTTTTTCAATTTTCTTCAACCTGGAAGACCTTTCAGTGTAGCATGCCGAAGTAACTTTTTTTTACAGTGCATTGTGCATAAATCAACGGTTTGATTGAAGGTTTTTGGCTGATAAGAGCATCTCCATCGGTTTGACTCTCCCCACTTTCATTCCTACGTGGCCCAAGTTTGCAATTTCATTTGCCCATTGCACCCATATGAGTGGCAATTGCAAAAATGGAAACTTTCATCTAGTGAAAGTGGGATTGCAAGCCACGGTGGAATTTGTGCTATAATTTTTTCTTCTTGTTTTGATTTCAATGACCACTTTTGGCTGCATGTGCCATAGATTTAATTCTTATTGGAATTTTTTTGTATAATTTCCATGGACCATGTGTTAAATTAGTATTATTTTAATTTTTGTATCAATGGGAGTAAATAGCATCATATACTAATTTTATTAATTATAATAAAATATAAATAATAATATAAATGTAAAATTAAATTTTTATTACTTTAATTTCATATCTACAAATATCAAAATTATTATTTTATTTACTTGCAATGTGGATAAAAAGGTATTTAAATTTTTTTTAATGCATTAAAAAAATTTAGGCCTCATATGCAATTGCAAGTTAATTGCACCAATGTAGGTACAATGAAAGTAAAGTGAGTTGGCTTGCAAAAATTGTGTTGTGTCAAAAAAATCACAAATGCAATTGCAAATGCAATTGCACCAATGGAGATGCTCTAATTAGTGGCTATAAGTCTATAACCCAAGCCTTTGAACTTTGATGAACCTAGGTACTTTTTTCGCCGTCATTTTTGTTCATTCCTTGTCCTGTATTTTTATCTTTTGTTGGGGGAAAAGAACATAACTTCAGGCTATGATCAATTTCATTAGTTGTGCATTTTTTGATTCAGGTAGGAAAACAAGCTTGGTCGTGGTCGAATCTGATGGCAGTGTGAACTTCACCGCCAAACTTCCACTGCTTACCTTTTGAAACTTATACATACTGCAGCACATCTTGCCATGTCTATTATGCAATCTGCATTTACGTCCCTTGAGGCTCTTTTAAGTTTGCACTGCCTTCTCGTGGAATACTTATCTGACTATTTCGGTAACCAGACATGAACATATGCTTTCTGAGGCCGTACGAGAAGGGCTAGAAGAAGAAATGGAAAGAGATAATCGAGTTTGTGTAATGGGTGAAGATGTGGGCCGTTATGGAGGTTCTAACAAGGTGACCAAAGGCCTAGCTGAGAAGTTTGGGGATCTCATGGTTCTTGACACCCCAATTGCTGAAAATTCCTAAATCGGAATGGGGATTGGAGCTGCCATGGCTGGGTTACGCCCAGTTGTGGAAGGGATGAACATGGCATTTCTCCTCCTACCTTTCAACCAGATCTCAAACAACTGTGCCATGCTCCACTACACCTCAGGTGGCCACTTCACCATCCCAATCATCATCCGTCGGGCCTGGTGGTGTTGGGCGTCAGCTTGGCGTTGAGCACTCACAACGCCTTGAATCGTATTTCCAGTCCATCCTTGGAATCCAGATGGTTGCATGCTTGACTTCTTACAATGCAAGGGCTTGATGAAAGCTGCAATCCGAAGTGAGAATCCAATGACCCTTTTCGAGCACGTGCTGCTTTACACCCTCAACGAAAGAATCCCAGACGAGGCATACATCTGCAATCTGGAGGAGGCTGAGATGCTTAGGCCGGGGCAATATATCACCATCTCCACCTACTCCAGAATGATGTATCATGTGATGCACGCTGCCAAGGCTTTGGTGAACAAGGGGTACGACCCTGAAGTGATTAACATCAGGTCCTTGAAACCTTTGATCTTCACACGATCATGAACTCAGTGAAGAAGACACATCGAGTGCTGATAGTGGAGGAATCCATGAGGACGAGAGGGATTGGTGCTAGCTTGACTGCGACCATCAGTGAGAACTTCATTGATTATTTGGACGCCCCAATTATGTGCCTGTCATCACAGGATGTGCCAACACCTTACCGTTGGGAAATTGGAGGGATACATTGGATGAGTACACTAGTGTGGTAGAGCAAAAAGGACGGGAAAGCCGCCTTTCTACTTCATTCATTTATTTTGTTTTGGTATGGTTTCTTAAACAGCTTGTGCTTGTTTTGACAAACAGTTTGACGTGAAGAAATCGGATTGTCAATGAAGTGTTTTGTGCACTAGGAATCATACATCATTGCGATGGGGTTCGTATGTTTTGAATAATTTTCTGCGATAAATGAATTTATATATAAACCACGGTCAACTCACCTAAATTTCGAATAGAAATCAGCCTCCATCCTAGCAAATTAAACTTGTGTAAATACCAGCTCATCAATTAATCCTGTTGAGTGAAACATATAGTATATATGCATTGCTTTTCACTCTATTATGATCGCGGCAGAGTTACAGATGGATTCGCTCTAATGAAAATATTTGGTTTCTTGCAAGAAGATGATTGAAAGAAGTAATTGATGATGTTCTTGCTTAATTTGTTGGTCGGCAAGATTAATGACTCCATCCACTCGAAAGGAGATGGATGTTGTTCCAGAATCTCATACATATAGTTCTGTATCTGTAAACAGCAAAAAGGCATTACAATACTATCTTCTCAAGGTAACCTGCAGTAACACTTTACATATATGCATATATACATGATCATAAAGTCCAAGCATACCTCAACGGTAAAGCTGCGCAGTGTCAATACGTTTTTGCAGTCTGCACACATTCGAACAAGGATCTCAAATAGAAAGCTACGACCGTCTTGTCTAAATGGTTCACGTCCGATGTCCTCAACTCGAGATCTGCACGATCCAGAGCAGGAAGGGTTGAACTGAAGAACCCTTTGCCAGCTGTCACATTTTCACAAAGAGTGAAAGTTTGGAGTTCCAGTGCATATATCTCAATCTCGTAGCGCGCCATCAGCTCCAGTTTCAAGCTGAGCAACTGGGGTTCATGTACCTTTACCTTGCTCCCCATTCTGCTACCCATTGTGGGAGTGATGGCCAAATTTTTCAAGCAAGGAAAGTTAGTAAGAATGAGACCCCGGCTATCAAAAGGGCAACATCGCAGGCTCAACGTGGTCAGCATTGGGAAACCAGAGCAGGTTGCAAACCCATGATCGAGGTTGATCCAGTGGAGGTCTAGAGTTCTCAGATGATTACTTGTCTTCTTCTTCCTCTTCTCGTTGTTATGAATATTAGTGTCGCAGTAATCGGAGAATATCGCGTTGAAATTGCGGTACAGTTCTGATGACTTGATATATACACATGTTTTTGTCCACCATTCTTACACCGTTTGAGTCTTATTTCTCATTTTTTAGGCCGATTTCACGCTAGGTTGTTCTTGTTTGTGATATTTCAGGTCCTAGTATGTGAATGAAGGTTTGGGAACGAGTTCGGGGTCTATTGGAAGAAGATTGGATGTTTGGCGAGAAGCTGAGAAAGCCACACGGGCACGGCTAAAAACCCACAAGGCCGTGTGACCTGGCCGTGTGGCACCAAATTGTTGAACACAATGTGATGCAATCTGACAGTCTTTTATTGAAAGCAAAGAAGCAAATATAAAGACGTTGATGTAGACCACAATTCTCGGTCACTACCAACAACACTAACTTCCAGACTCCTGATCTCCAGCAATCACTACTAACTAATTAAGCCATAAACTCTCTAACAGTCCACGCAACAATGCAGGACTTATTTGTACCAAACTATAACTTAGGTACTGACTTGACACAAAGACAAACGACGCAGTTTTGACTAAACTGACAGACTCAAATCAAGCAGCAGAACTTGGCGCCTTCCTTCAATCCTTATGCAGCAAGGATCCAACCTTCAACAGCTCCAACAGATCCTCCCCTGAACTGAAGCCTCTTCTATCATCAGACTTCAGTTCACTCCATCGTTCTCGTCACTCCAACCTCCCTGCAACCTTAGAAATATCACAGACCCCCAATTTGCTTCTTAATCTCAGAAATGAATCCAACTTTAAAGCCTTAGTCATGATATCAACAACTTGATCTTGTGTCCCACAATACTCCACCTTCACAGTTCCATCCTCTGAGAAAATGGAACCTCACATCTATATGTTTACTCCTCCCGTGAAATACTGGATTCTTAGATAGCTTAATTGTTGAACTATTATCACACAGAATAACAGTTCCTTCCTTCACACTTTCTTGCCAGCCTATCTCTTCTAGAACCCTCCTAAGCCACACACACTGAGATGCACAGTAGGATACAGCAATGAATTCTGCTTCAGTGGTGGATAAAGTGACCACAGGTTGCTTTTTTGATGCCCAGGACACAGCTCCTCCTGCCAGGAAGAAGGTATAACCACTGGTATTTCTTCTATCATCAAGATCACCTGCATAATCACTGTCAGTGTAGCCCAGTAGACATCCTTCCTCAGTCCCTCTTCGATACAGAATTCCATGGCTCATCGTGCCCTTTAGGTACCTCAAAATCCTCTTTCCAGCCAACATATGTTGTCTGGTTGGCGCCTCCATATACCTGTTCTATAGACACACTGCAAACATGTTATCTGGTCGAGTAGCAGTTATGTATAACAGACTTCCAATAAGCTTCTGAATTCAGCAGGATTTGCAGGGCAGCCATCTCCAGCCTTTGTCAACTTTGCACTAAGAACAATTGGATTGTGAGAGTTGCAATCCAATAGCTTAAATCTGTTCAGAATCTCCTTTGCATACTTCTGTTGAGTGATGAAAATGCCAGCCTCACTCTGAATCACCTCCACTCCTAGGAAATACCTCATCTTCCCCAGGTCAGTCATCTCAAATTCAGCCTCCATTGACTGCTTAAACTCTTTGATCATCTCATTCATTGGTGCTGATGTACATGAGATCATCCACATACAAGCTTACAATCAACATATCAGCTCCAGCCCTTTTGATGAACAGAGTTGCCTCATTTGGACACCTCTCAAAACCTTGACTCAGGAAATAAGCCTCTATTCTGTTGTACCAGGCCCTAGGAGCCTGCTTCAACCCATACAAAGCTTTCTTTAGTTTATAGACTTTATTCTCCTCCCCAGCAACCACAAATCCTTGTGGTTGCTCAACATATACATCTTCAGTGAGCTCACCATTCAAAAAAGCACTTTTTACATCAAACTGCCAAATTGTTAATCCATGGTGAGCAGCAAGAGCAAACAGTACTCTAATGGTGTCCCACCTGGCTATAGGAGCAAAGACTTCAGTGAAGTCAATTCTAGGTCTTTGTGCATAGCCTTTAACTACCACTCTAGCTTTATGTTTATCAAGGTTGCTAGTTTCCTTCAGTTTTGTCTTCATGTCTTGTAGACCCACTTCACACCAATTGGAACTACATTTTGAGGGCAGTCTGTCAATTCCCAAGTGTTGTTCTTCTCAATGGCCTTCATTTCTAGCTTCATGGCTTCATCCCAGACAACAATCCCAGCAGCTTCCTCAAAGGTTTGAGGATCTCCAGTAGTGGCTACCATGACTAGCCAGTCTGTGTTCAGGAAGTCCGCATGACCACAGTCATATATAGCTAGATGACTGGGTGGTTTTCTGGACATAGGACCAAGATCAGAGCTTAAGGGCAGCCCCAACACGGTCACCCAAGTTTTCCCGCACGGTGCGGTGGAGATCAGCAATGCTCAAACTGAGCCATTCAAGGTGAATGGCCACCTCCTAAAGTTGTACTTGGGAGGTGCGGTCGAGCGCGCAGAGCTGCTGATCAAGCTCGAGGACCCTTAGTTCCTTTACTGGCGTCCAACTAAAAGATGGTAAAGAAGCGCTTGTGGGGAGGCAACCCCACTTAGGTTTGCATTTTCTTTCCTTTTTCCTTTTGATTTTTTGTGTTTTTGAGTCTTGAAGTGTGTCCAAGGATCGAATGTTGATTTTGCGCGAAAATAGGTCAAATTCGGGGCTGTGGAATTCCACACGGCCAGGCCTAAATCCCACACGGCCGTGTGGGATTGACTTCTGGCCGTGTGGAGGCCCTGGAAAATTCACACGGGCAGCAGGGGTCCCTCACACGGCCGTGTAGAATTGGCCTTTGGCCGTGTGAAGGCTCGGTGATTTCCACACGGCCAGAATTGCTCTTTCACACGGCCGTGTGAAATCCCTCGACCAGGCCGTGTGATTTTCTCGGCCACACACGAGCGCTATTGCACCTCACACGGCCATGTGGGCATGCCCGTGTGGCCGAGCCAGCGTCTATAAATTCAAACCACACAGCCGCGTCGCAGAAAATCCAACTCCCCTCGCCGGAATCCTCTCCCCCTCACCTGGAAATCGCG